GAGGATGTGAGGGGAAAATGTATAATCAAACATTGGTAGGATTACGAATTAGCACAACCACTCTGGAAAGCAGTGTGGAGATTTCTCAAAAACCTCAACCATATAACGCAGATATCCCTTTCCTTGGTATTTATCCAGAAGAACTAAAATTGGCATATTACAGTGATACAAGCACATCAATGCTTATAGCAGCACAAATCATGATAGCCAAAATATGGAACCAGCCTGGGTGCCTGTCAGTAGATGAATGGATTAAGAAAATGTGGTATGTATTTACAATAGAGTTTTACTCAGTCATAAAGAAGAATGAAATTATGGCATTTGTTGATAAATAGATGGAACTGATGAACATTATGTAATGTGAAAAAAAACAGACTGAGAAAATCAAGAGTGAAAAGTTCTTTCTCACACATGAGGAAACTATAGCAAAGTAAGGGGAAAATAAGTGGGGAGACAGTGTTAGATATCATAAAATCAAAGGAAAGATCAGGGGAGTAGAAGGTGACTGTGGGGGAGAGACAAGGGACAGAAATGGGGAGGAAATGTGGAATGAATCCAAGAAAATTACAGCAGGTGCATGTACAAATATACCACAGGGAATGCCACCTTTCTGTCTATCTACAAAGTACCAACTAAAAGCATGTGAATGAGCAGAAGACAGACCAGTAGAATAGAAGAAGGGGAATAGTGGAGGTGGAAGGAAATGAGGGACTCTGGGGACTGAAATGGAGTAAATTAAATTCTATGTATGTATGATTATGTGAAAAAGAAACCAACTATTTTGTATAATTTTAACACACCAACAAAAGGAAAAATAAACAAGCTTATCTTTCAAATGAGTTAATCAATAAATGTTTGAGTAATTAGGATATGTTAGAAGGCCTTGTTCAAGTCTACAATAGAAATGTGACAACTCATGCCCACATAAAATTTACATACTCCCTAATAATTGAATTCAATTGAACATAAAGAGGAATTATTAAAATGAGGAAATTATTACTGGTTTTGGGGTTGGAATGGATATAGAGTGAGAGAAGAAATCAGACTTCAGGATTCAAAAGGAAGAGTATGAATGAGAGAACCAAAGGAGAAATAAAAATTACTTTAGGAAAAATCTAATCTTAGATTCAAAACTTAGAAAAAATATTGTGAGATAATGAAGAAGTAGTCAAACAATTTGTAATGTGCATATGCACTGTTGTGTGTGCATTGCCATTGACTTACGTGCATTTTCCTCTAGGATGAAGAAAAAACTACAAAACAGATGAAAAGATAGGGACAGAATAGTGCTTGTTAAAGATGCTAGAAGAAAGGAGATTCTCTCAAGATTCAGTGTATTCATTAAAGAGTCCAAAATCAATGGGAATTAGTGAGCACAGATGGGAGAAATTAGATTTAGAGAAGGAGGAGATAGATAGCGTTTTCTTTTCTGTCTTCAATTTTTGGGTCTTAGAATATTAGGAAGAAATAATTATCTGTGAATACTGAGGGAGTAAAGGATGAGAGTAGGTCCTGGGAAGGGAGAAGAGGATGACAATCTTTTGCAGAATCCTCTTAAGAAGCCCTGTGATAGTGACTGAGCATCAAGGACTAAGGTTATTGTGATGGGTTGTGGTAGATTGTCCCATCTTTGGCACTCTTTGTCTCCTAGGCATTATGCCTATTTTAGCTTTGTGACATGAGTCACAGGATGGCAGAAATGAGTAGGACAATAGGAATTGAAAGTGAAGTTGGGATTGGGAGGCAATGCAGGAATTTGGTCTCTTGAAATGTTGGAAATGCTTCTTGACTTTAAGTTTCTCCAGAAGTTAAACAGGTGGGTGGGGGGAGGTTGGGAATATATGCACTTCAAAATTCCTTAAATTTTTTGTTAGTGTCCCTTCAGCTATTCTGAGAGTTTTATCTGCTATCAGGTAGTGAAAATGGGCAGACTCAATTATGAAGGCAGAGAATTAGCAGAGATGGATATTTCACTAATAAAATGATTGTTTCTAGAACTAAAAGAAAAATATACCTATTTTAGAGAAACACACACACACACACACAAAAAAAAAACCCAAACAAACAAACAATAAAAACCTAAAACTAAAACTAAAGGTAGCCATTTACTCCAAGCTATACCCTGGGAGATGTTTGCTTTGCACTCTCTAATTCTTCTGCTTCTTGTTTGAAGGGTGGATTGATGGATACAATCTTTCTATGGAAGCCATGTTTTATCACTCAGACACATTTTGTGCAAGTATTGAGAGCTGAGAACTAATATCAGAATTTACAACATAATCCTTTACAATTTAGAAGGAGCTTTATCATATGGTCATCGCAAAGCTTCTACAATGTAATCAAGAGAAAAATCAACAAAGTCAATCTCAGAAACTAAATTACAAGGGACCCATTCACATTCACTCTTTATATCCATGTCAAAGGTAGAGAGACTAGGAGGAATGTAACCACTGTGACATCATATCTGTCTCAGCCATATCCTTCTAGTGGTAGGGAGGTTATTTTTCAAGGCTACCAGTCCATTAACCTTCAGAAGAACAATAATAAAGCCAAACAAAGAAACACTCCCAATAGCAATGGCATTGCTTCTAATCCTGCTTATATATCTTACCCTAGGGATTTGAAGATGAAAAAAGACCTCTATCTTTCCAGGCACATAAATGAATACAGACACCCTGAAATAAATGTATCAAATGCCTGTGGTACACATTATAGACAAACTTGGGATATTTTTAAAAATGGGAATGGGTTCAGGGAGAATAACCGAGATCATTCCTGCTGAATCTCTGTCTAATGTTGTGATTTGTAACTGGGAGGGCCAAAGCATCAACCTCATTTATTTTTTAAGGTCTTGGCCTGCTCTTGGTTGCCACTTCACCTAGATTCATTCACTGTATATATTTGGAGCTATTAGTTTCCAGATAAATGCATTGTCAGAAAGCCAGAGGGGGATGATAAGATAGAAAATAAGGAGCTCTCACTTGTTTTTATACGGTTCTGTTTGACTTAAGAGATAATTACAACCCAAATTGATGCTCTTATTTTAAGCAAGGTAGTAAATCAGCTTGAAATATAGGATTTGGGAAAACCATTTGCCACATCTCTATAATTTGTTAAAATTCCTGAGTACTCTGTATATGAGAAACCATAGACAGAAGCAAAGTGAGAAAAATACTGGCACTTGGAATCAGAAGGACACATATTTGAATACAGACTCTGATGAGGGTTTTATTCAAAATATCTGTCAAAAGACATGGCAGGGACAGGGACTCCTTAAGAGGAAGGATTGCTAATGCAGGGCTCCGGAGACTCTCCCATGCAAAGATTTATGTTTTTGATTGCTGGATTATGGGAAGATGAAGCTAGAGCTGAGATAGTGAGTTCAGGGAACTAGTCAACATGTTTGAGAAATTAACCACTATAGATGTATTTCTATACTAACCTGCAGAAGTAGATAAGACTACTTCTTACCATACCAAAACTAGCATGACCATCAGGGTCCAGTCATTCTAGTCCATATATTCTCCTTAGATTACACTTATTGTGTACCATTGGTAGTTGAAATAATAACCTTGAGTCAGTCAAGAAAGAGAAATGAACTATAGTGAGTTTTTGGTTCACCATTTGGCTGCTAGGAGACCTATTTTATCTGATTGGAAACTAGTCTGTATGCTTTCCCTCTGTCTACAGTTACCAAGATACAGTCTGATATTCTCAGAAAAAAAAGGGCAATTTCTAATGGAGGCCAGAGATACTTCCATAATTTAAGCCAAATGTTTAAAAGAAGCCTAGAGTGTACTCAATCCTAGTTTATATTCAGAGGTGAGTCCATAATGGAGGAGTACACAAAAGAACCTGTGGATCCATTTAAAAGATTCTCAGGGAGGCATCCTTTCTCTATATGACACCCATCCCTGACCTACCTTTTCACTCCAAAGTATGTTTAAATGCAAACAATACAATTGTATCTTTCAATTGAACTGCTTGAAATGAACCTCTAAATATGACATTTATAGCAACAATTATGAACAACAAATACTAGTTTAACTTTGCATAAGCTTTACAAAACTGTCTATTAACACATTCATCCCAGTTATCAATATTGAAAAATTATTTTCATATATAAAAGCGGTATCATTTGTATTTAAATTATCAACCATCTGAATAATTGAAATAATAACAAAAAACCTCATAAGTAAAATCCATAAGTTATCTACATAAAGGATTAAAGAGTAATTTAAAGAGTACAGATTAACAGCAGCAAAGACAGGAGAAAAGTTGGGAAGGTACAATAAAGGAATATGAGATGTGTGTATTCTTGTATAATTTTTTTCCCTTTGATATTAAAGGGCTTTTGCTTATAATCTGCTAACTCAGCACTTTTTAATTGGTAAAAAGAATTGTCAGTGCAAAACGTGGTTGGTGAAATCACACAGTATATCTAGAATGTAGTCAATCATTCCAGTTGTTTTATACCAAAACCTTTTCCACTGTGATTTTTCGTATCTCCATATTTTGAATTTATTTGCACAGAACTTATCTATTAAATAAAGTTGACTTAATTTCTTATTTTTAACTAAGAAAAGCTAAGAATTATAATACTTCAGACTTCTTAGGAGCATTGATAATTATATCAAAAATTTCAATTATAACTAAAGTTATTTACAATTTTAAATAAGCTACATAACCTCTTTGAACATCAGGTTCAATATCTAAGTTCTTCAGAAATTCAAAACTATTTCAAGGAGCCCCATAAGTCCTATTTCAGAGTCCCAAATGTTTCATCTTGGCAACCATGGGTATAAACCGATTTTCAAATCACCTAACAACTATAGTTTATTGTCACTTGAAGAATTAAATTGAATTATTGAATGCACCATAACCATATAAATACGAGAGAAGACAAAATTTGGGGGGGGTCTTTCAATCTTTTTACAGTCTCTGCCAGAGCCCTGCTTGATGTGATGTGGTAGGAATCAGAAGCATCCACATGTACTCACCAGCCTGATTAGTTGTGATGCTGACTGCAGCAAACTGTCGTGGCGGGGAGCTCAGTTTTGATACCCCATTAACGGCATCAATCTCAAAAGTGTAGTTAGTGTGTGCCAGGAGATCTGTCACTGTCACTGTGGTGTTGGTGAGTCCAAACTGTCGAGGGAGGAAGTGGACATTTGGGCTGCATGGCTCACACTGTTTTACATTCCACCCACATTTTTTACATATGATGTTGAAGGTAACATCTTTCCGGCCTCCTGTGTCCAGGGGCCAGCTCCAGTCCAGGATAACGGAGGTCTCGTTTATGTTAGAGATAACATTTCTTGGTGCAGATGGAGGTCCTGCAAAGTAGTTCAACAAAGATTAATGAGCTTCACTCCTGTTTTCTCCTAAAAGGGAAAGAGATAATTTACAATGGAACTGAAAGAGGTAAATAACCATCCTGTCTTTATTGTCTACTTTTAATTCATCCTTAGAGGATCCATGAGATTATGGACACATGGATTCAAGAGCATTGTCCTCCCCAAGCTATGAATGGGGGAGTTTTGTGTCAAGGTTGAGGATGCACTCACAACATCCAGCAAAGGAATTTACCACTAAATTCAATACCCCTGTGAATAGTTATGAAAACTTTAGTATTACTTTTATAAATCTTAGTCTTTTTCCCTGTGACCTGTGACCAACATAGAGCAAGAGGGAATAGAAATGTAAAAACATAAATCCTCTGCCTATAACCTCCCCTATCCTGTCAAGTATAATGCAAGATCTTATAACAAGATGCAAAAATTTTTCTTTCTTTCTGAGGGTCCCATTGCAGGAAGTACTTTACAAACTAATTCATTCTGTGTGATAAATGTTGCATTTGTGGTGAGCCAAGCATGGAGAGTGAAGCAGAGAAAGCTTTCAATTTGCACATGGTTAACGGAAGGGAATGGGCAAATGCTTTAAACATACAAAAACAAAAACAAAAACAAAAAAACAAACAAAACAAGAAGAAAAAACAAATCAAACATGGAGGCATGGGTTGCAGCAAAACTACTCACGGGTACAAGCCATGGATGGAGGGTCTTTGTCTGCCCGGAAGTAATTATTCTCACACCTGCAGTTCATTGAACCATCTTCGTGAGTAGAACTGTGAGGCGGGCACTTGGCACACTTCATATTACCATCGGAAGCCTTGTAGAAGCCTGGTCGACAAGCTAGAAACAAAATGATTCTTTTAAAGTCCTGCGATAATTTTGTGAATGTATTTTGAAAATACGTAAAACAGATTTTAGGATGTTAGGGCATGAATTCATTATGAACATCAATCAATTTGCTTCCTTCCCTAATTCACAGAAGCAAATAATACGGCCCAGTGTAGTTTTTCCACATATACATTTGAATTTGCACCAAATGTTAAGAAAAAAATAAAAAAAACTGCAAGATTTAGATTATTTTGGCACTAGAGTTTGATGAAATTTCCAGCTTGTGTTTTCACAGCTTTACTTGGCATTGGACTATTTGTGGAGAAAATAAAGCAAAACCATGTCACCATGTAGTCATTTTCTTTTTTAAGTATGATGCAATGTGTATAATATCTGCACTGCTGTGAGAGTATATTACACGTAGAGTTGTTTTCTAAACGCTCTGAATGTGTACAACTTTGTCCTACAAATTGTAAGCAACTGATGGAAGAAAATTATGACTTCCTGTATATTTTCAGATTCTTCAAACAGGATTTTCTATCTTGACAGTATTGTCCCTCAACTTTTATGGCAATGACCTGTCCTTCACTAACTCTGTGTTATCTTCTTTCCTCGTGATCATACCTCTGCATAGCATGTTTTGTGTCAGCCCAATGGGCTGGTTATCAAACATTGATTTCAGTGTACCCTTTAGGATCTATCATCTGTTTACTGCTTTTACAGAATTATGCCTCTATTATATTGCTTTTGATAAATAGTAAATTCAAAGTTCTGTATTTTTTAATTTATTCAGTTTCATAAAATATTAGAAGCTAAAATCATCATGAAAATCCTTACTAGAACTCTCTTAATATTCCTTTGAGAAAGAATTCAAATTCAGGTCTCAAAGTTCAGGTTTCCTGCAGATCATCTTTGGGAATCAATAATTTCAAAAACTTCAAAAACTCACTACACTGAGATTTGAAGATTTATAGACCTAAGTATAGAATATGCCCTAAATATTCTCATCAAATTCTAGAATTTTCTTCTATCAACCTTTATACTTTGAACACAGTGTTATTTACATTCAACAAAAATCAGTTTGGACAAATTTTAATACTTATAATCATTAAATATATTTCTAAAAGATGGTACATTATGTACATACTACAATACTTTCTTACTGAAATATTCCTGAAATAAAATGTGTGAACTTCATTATCAAGATAAATTACTAGAGCAATAACATAAAATGATAGCCATCATCCTCTGAAACTTGTAGTTTTCTAGTTCCTACTAAGAATGGCTATTCTAGGCCTATTTTACAAAATAATGAACAAATTTTAGTGTCACGTTGAGATCCAATTCTTCTTTCTTAACCTACAATTATTGAGGACTATAAACTTTTTAGCATTGTCCTTAAGAACTCTTTAGAAATGTCCACTCATATCCTATTGCCTCAGACAGAAATGATATAAAGTATATAAACAAAATATGCACTTCTGGTTTCAATTTAATTCATCATTGAGTGCTTTAAATTTGCAAAAGGCATTGCTGAGCCTTTAGAAAATTAAGTTGTGGTGCTCCAATGTACTTTGCCTTTTGTTTGCTTGTAAGTTTATCTTCATGTTTTCATTTGAGACTTTATGGTCTAAATATTTGACATTAAGTTATTTACTAAACAATCACTTTCTGTTAATATTGTAAATGGCTATGTGATACTTTTAAGTAGAAAAGACAGTCACATAATCACTTCTTAGCTACAGCACAATTTTATCAGGATACCGATAAGAGCTTGAATATAGCTACATTTAATAAACCTAGAAATTAAAAACATCATTCAAACTAGTACCTAGACTTTATCCAAATTATGGCTAAATAATAAACTTAGAAATGATAATAGCAAATGCAGGTAGGCATAGAGACAGAAAATTTAACAAATGTTTGTCAGGTCTCTGCTCTTGTTCAGGTTCTTTGACAGGCATACAGATAAAAGTACTTTTAATTCAATCCATACCTAAAGGGCCTTTTGCAATAGGAAGCGGGCAGCAAGCTTTTAACAAACCATGCTGAGCAAAACAATTCTGACTGGGAGATTGGAACGGACACCATAGAAGGTATGATATTTGAAAGAGACCACTAAATGAGAATAGGAGGTAGCCAGTAAAAATATTAAATAAAAACACAAAGAGACCAGACTCAAAAGACAAACTGTAATATCTTTATTTCATGTGGAGAAATGTACCCAAAGTCAAAACCCTGATTCCTGCTTGCCATTGGAATTTTAATTCGATTCATAATAATTCCCAGCTAAATTCTACCTTACTCAGATTTATTGCAACTAGGAATAAATGGTCAAAATTATGATCAAAAAGATAACCAAAGAAATAAAAACAAAACTGATTAAAGTCATTGAGATAAATTTTTCTCTTCTAAAAAGATGGACAAATACGAATGCTGCTACTGTTTACAAGATTCCAGCCTTGATTATGAACATTATGTCTCTCATTATAGCAGTGTATATATGACAAAGAGATAAAGGCCAAGAAAATCAGAGGAATGTGTATCGTGTGCTTGATGAACCAACAAACATCTCTATCAAGATTTCTTTTTTTAATATTTCTTTTTTAGTTGTAAGTGGACATAATATCTTTATTTCATTTTTATGTGGTGCTGAGAATTGAACCTAGTACCTCACAAGTGCTAGGTGAACACTCCACCACTGGGCCACAACCCCAGCCCCTCTATCAAGATTTCTTAAAAGAAAAGTGGTACCTACCTCTTAAAGTCACTGACACCAAGTGTTCTTTTACTGGCAGCAGAAAATATTCTGAGGTGATGTTAACAAATAAGAGAATTCAGTTGAGATATCCTAATTAAATAGAACCATAGCCTTAGTGACTCTTGGAAATCATATTGGTGTGTGTGTGTGTGTGTGTGTGTGTGTGTGTGTGTGTGTGTGTGAAAGAGAAAGGGTGAACAGACAGATATCTAGAGACACTGAAGTCTAGAATGTTGAGACACAGATTTGAGGACAGATTTTTCAGGTTACCATATTTGATAGCTATCTGATAGGCTTCAACCACCACATAATTGATACGCATTGAATGTCAAACAAATGCAAATATGATGCTAGAATCTGTAATGACATGTTAAATTTTAAGATACCTTTATTCTTTCCAAAGAACTATGGCAACAGTTCTGTTAAAATTATCAGGGTAGATATTAGCTCATTTGCCTGGACAGTTGAAGCAAAACCAGAAAGGATTGTTTGCCCAAGAGTATAGTTTGAATAAAGAATAGATTTTTCTGCCCTTGATTTTATATAAATCAATTACTAAACACAAATTGCTCTCTGAAAACATCATTTTCCCTTACCTACTCTAAAATGTTAATCTAACATTGAGGAATAGAAATCTAAAATTATTTTATTAAAAATGTAACATTTTCTTATCTATTTCTAGTAAGAATCCATTTCAGAATGGTTAATATGCTTCTGTATACACATTTACCCGGGATCTCCTATATATTTGATGTCTGCTTTGGGTAGTTTTGTTGGAAGAGCTGAGGGAATTTGTCAGGTCGAATATTAGGGTAACACTGTACTGGGGAAGTATACAAGTAAATTCTTCCTTTTTGATTTCAAACATGGTATTAACATCAAACAGATATAAAAGCCAATAGAACAGAAGGCAGAGAGCCAGATCTACACAGGTATAGTTATCCGTTGTTCTGCAAATATTCCAAAACATACATTAAAGTAAAGACAGCCTTTTTAACAAATGGTTTTGGGAAAGCTGTAAATTGATGTGTAGGGAAATAAAACTAGATTTCTAACTTTCATTCTGTGCAAAATTCAACTAAAGTGATTAGAAACCTAAAAATTAAACCAGAAACTTTGAAACTGATAGGAGAAAACAAAGACTCAATGCTCTAACATATTGACACTGGCACCAAGTTCTTTAACAAGATCCCTAAAAACAAATAATTAGAACCAAGAATCAGTATGTAATCAATTTCCAAAACTTCTGCATGGCAAAGGAAACAATAAAGAGCCTGAAGAGAGAACCTACTAAATGAGAGAAGATTTTTGACAACTTTTCCTTTAACAGGGGGTTAATATCCAGAATATACAAAAAAAAAAACCCTCAAAAACCTTAATACCCACCCCAAATAGCCCAATTAATAAATGGGCAAAAGAACTAAACTGACACTTCTCAAAAGAAGTACAAATGGCCAACAAATATATGAAAAAAATTTAACATCCCTAGCAATGAGAAAATGAAAATCAAAACTACACTAATATTTCATCTTACTTCAGTTAGAATGGCAATCACCAAGATTACAATTAATATGAATGCTAATGAGGGTGTGGGGGAAAGTTGCACATTGTTGGAGGGACTAAAAATTACAAATATTCTGGAAAGCAGTAAGGAGCTTCCTAGAATAATTAGGAGTGGAACGGCCATATGATCCAGCTATACCATTTATTTTAGAGAAGTAAAATCACCATATTATAGTGATAAAGGCATATAAATGTTTATATCATTTCAATTCACAATAGCCAAGTTAGAGAACCAGCCCAGGGGTTCCTCAACAGATGAATGGATAAAGGAAATGTGGTTTGCATACACAATAAAGTTTTGCTTAGCCAAAATGAAATTATGGCATTTGCTGGTAAATGGATTGAACTGTAGGACATCATACTGAGTGGAATAAACCAAAATCAGCAATTCAGAGTCCAACATTTTCTCTCACATATGATGGCTAGACGAAAGGGAAAAAATGGGGCGGGGGACAGGGGTGAATCCTATAAAAACAGAAGAAAGATCAGTGAAGAATAAGAAAGGAATAGAGATGGGCAGGGAGGGACAGGAAAGGGGAGGAAATGTGGAATGAAATTGACCAAATTATATAGTACATATATGAATGTACTATAGTGGATTTCAGCTTTATGTATACGTATAAGCACTTATTTAAACACCACAGTAGTTAGAAGAAAGACCAGTATGGTACAGGAAGGAAAATAGGGG